TATCGCCAATAACTACGCGTGGGGGGAAAGGAAATGTGTTTTGTGAGGAAGAGAAAGAGCGCGCTTCACCGATGCCCGTTGGCGAAATTTTGGAAGAGAGGCAAGAGACTTCAGGCACCGAGCCCCCACCGCTGGCTGCGGCAACTGGAGCGGGCGGGAGGCAGGGAAGGGGTGGGCAAGACCGCCGCTTTTCCACCGTGTGCTGCAATAGCGGCAGCGGCGGCCTGAATCTGGCGACTGCCCCTCACCACCTCAGGCGGCGCTCATACCCTCCCCTTTCCTGCGCTACCGTTAGACTCCTCTCAGCCCCCCACCCACGCCCGCGGAGGGCGCACGCGCGCCAAAATCACGCACCCCCCATCTCCCCTCAAAAGACCCCCCCCGCCCTCGGCTGCCCGACGTTCTCTCTCTCTCTCTCTCTCTCTACCTCTCCCGCCGTTCCTTCTCACAAGCCAAGGCCGGGCGGGGAAGCGCCGTCTCCGTCCCGGGCGCGCCGCCCCTCCCTGGGCAACTCGGAGATGACTGAGCCGCTTTTTCTCCAACCGCGCCGCGCGACCCTTACCAATGCCGGGCGCCACATAGACGAAGTAGAGGAACGAGGAGGCCCCCGGCCGCTGCGCGGCCCGGTGCCAGGTACTCCGCGGACCGGGGGTTGGGGACCACTGCCCTACACCACTTCAGACAAATGGTTATCCAATCTCTTCTTTAAAACTTCCAGTGTTGGAGCATTTAAAACTTCTGGAGGCAAGTTGTTCCACTGATCAATTGTTCTAACTGTCAGGACATTTCTCCTTGGTTCTAAGTTGCTTCTCTCCTTGATTAGTTTCCACCCATTGCTTCTTGTCCTGCCCTCAGGTGCTTTGGATAATACCTTGACTCCCTCTTCTTCGTGGCGTGATCCTCTTCTTTAGAGGGTCCTTGAAGCACTTGGAGGTAACCTTTGACTCTGTTTGAAAATGGAATTTTGGAGTCTGTTGGTATTGCTTAGCGCTAATATCCCCCTCTCCCCCAATGCGGAGACTACAGCAACTGGTAATCAGGATAGAAAAGCAGGAAATTCAATTGTTTGAAGAACTGCTGATAAAGTACAATCATTTATAAATTTGTTTCAAAATTTATAAAGCAGCCCAGCTCAGTTTCTCTGCCTTTTTAAATTTATTTATTTTTAATTGAAAAGACAGTGACATATCAGGATAATAATTACATATAAAGCAAAGCCAATGAAAAGTTAATAGTAAATCTTAACACACAAGCTAGTAACTATAACAATAATATAATAACAGTTATTATAGTAGTATGACCAAAAAGAGTAAAGAAAAAGAGCTTTAACTAAATTTCTACTTACATTAGCCTATTTACAATTTACCCTTAACTATAGTTAGTTTTATACATCTTTGTTTTCCATACTAACAATTATTGACATTCGTAAATGTATTTTCCCGCTCATTTCTACCTCTTGTCTCTAGCCATTCATAAAATTTATTCCATGTCTCATAATATTTTGAGTCTTCTTTATCTTTAATTTTTAAGATTATCCATTTTGGCACAATCCCAAATTTTCCTAATTATATCCTCGTCCAATGGGGTATTCACATTTTTTCAATATTTAGTGTATATAATTCTTGCTGCCGTCAGTATATGTAGCACTAAGTATATGGTTGCTTTATCGTAACTTTCCGATAGTATACCTAGGAGGCATGTTTCTGGCTTAAACTCAATATGTTGCTCAGTTATCATTTCCAACCAATTATAATTTTTTTCCAGTAATTCCTTGCTTTTCTACATGTCCATCACATGTAGTAGTAGGTTCCTGGAATCTGGTTGCATTTTCAACATTTGACGGAGGAATTCTTATACATTTTTGCCAATCTAGCAGGTGGCAGGCACCACCTGTAAAACATTTTATACAGGTTTTCTTTATAGGCTGAAGCCATAGTCAGTTTGTAGTTTCTTTTCCAAATATTTAACCATTTCTCTCATTCTATGTTGTATCTGAAATTCTTTGCCCAAGCAATCATCGTTTCTTTAACTATCAGTAAATAATTATATATATTTTAAATCAATTTTTCATCTGTCCCCATTAAAATTTTATCCATATTTTAACATCTATTTTGTATAAGGTGACCAGACGTCCCGCTTTTGGCGGGACAGTCACGATTTCTCACAATTTGTCCCACGTCCCGCAGCGTTCTTAAAAAGTCCCGATTTTTTTTTTTAAAAATTATCTTTACCAATGTAAAGAGGCTGCAAGGGCAAGGCCGTGGCAGATACGGGCCGCCAGCGGGTCTTACTGATTTTCTAGATTCATACAAGTTGCCCACTACATCCTCCATATTCGGGGAGAGATACTCGCTCCCGCACAGCATGGTTTTCAAAGCCACACTCTTGATTGGCTTGCAAACATCACAAGAGACGGCTTCCAAAGGAGGACAAAAAGTGCTGTAGCTGCACCTAAAGAATAGCCATCTCTGTAAGAACGAGAATGTCACTCATCCCGGAAACTTGCACGGCCTGTTTCCTAGGACCTGCTAGGTGTGGTACGGACAGTATTTTGCACCGGCCGCACTTGGTCCCCGAGCTGTCCCGTGCCGCGTTCTGCTGGAGCCAGACAGCAGTGGCAACAGCAGCAGGAGAAAGCCTGAGCTTGTCGAGCCACCGCGGCGAAGAGTCCCTGGAGGAGTCAAGAGCCTTGCGAGAGGGTGATTGCGAGCAACTTCCACCTGAGGGAAGGCGAGAAGGCATGGGGAGGGAGCTCGGGCGGCTGCCACAAGTTTGCTGCAGGGGGGGGGAAGAACTATCCCCCACCTCCTCTTTCTCCCTCTTTCTCCTTTTTGTCCTGAGCTTGGTGCAGCAAGGATCCCACTATCCCCCCTACCTCCTCTTAAAGCAGCAAGGATCTCACTATCCCCCCCACCTCCTCTTTCTCCCTCTCTTTCTCTTTTGGGGGGGAAGGAGGAGAAAGGACAAAAAGGAGAAAGAGGGAGAAAGAGGAGGTGGGGGGATAGTGGGATCCTTGCTGCACCAAGCTCAGAAAGCTGCAAGGATCCCACTATCCCCCCCACCTCCTCTTTCTGAAAGAAAGAGCAAGATCCTTGCTGCTTTATTTTTTGGATTAATTGGTGGAAATGTGCTCTCATTCATGATCCATTCCTATGA